TTGATTTTTCTGAATACCTGCTGACAGGCAGAGTTTAATCTTCGCGCTGTGTGTCCAGACATCACAAACCCTCCGCCTCCAGCATAACTGGGGTACAGAAGGCCTCCGTACATAAACTCTGGAACGTAATACTTGGAAGTGCGACGGCGGATTGGTTTAGCATTAACAATTATATCTCCAACAAACAGATCCTCATCAGGTTCTCTGCCTTGAAGCATCTCCAGGATGTTTTCCACATTGACGTATACGTCAGCGTCACCTTTAAAGATGAACCTGAAGGAGAGCAGACTGACTTTAATTAAGGCTTCGAGCTGAAATCATCATTCAAGACCTTTTAATCCACACTAACTTCACTTGAGCGCAGCTGCTGTTGACCCATTCTAGAAAATGTGTTTCTTTCAAAGTCAGGTTAAAGAAAGTGTCTTCAAAATTCCAGAGCAGGATGTCCTGATAGGCTTGGCTCTCATAGGCCAGTAGACGATCCCACCAAGGCAGGGAGGAGCGGTTCCTGGGAATCCCAAGCAGAAACACGGTGCGTACGGACCTGCCAGGTTGGAACATGCCTTCCTTCCCCCATGTCTGTCGCACTACCTAAAAAAAAAATATAAATGAGCCAAGAAAAAATCGAAAGGTGTAAAACTAACTTTTTATAGTAACCAATAAAAAACGTATTTTGCTACCTGCCGCTTGTCAAAATCTGCAGCTATAGATTTTACTGCGATGAGCATATAGGGAGCAGAACCTCCTCCTCCTTCCTCTTCTTCTCTTATCCGACATTTCTTCGGCTGGTCGATAAGCAGTTTAAAGTTTCTCCTGTCTTTTTCTCTCAGATAGCTCTTGAAGTCAAACGGTGGTAGAGTCGGCAGTTTGTCAGCAGCCCTGGTAGGCGGGACCTTTTTCCTTCGTGATCTGGACCTGATCTCAGAACTGGATCTAGACTGACGGGGGTTGAAGTTCAATTGGGGGATACAGGAAGGTAGCAGGGACTGTAGTTGGGATTATATCAAACAAAAGAAAGTAGTAAAAAAAAATGTGAGTGCTGGAAGAAAATGTATGTTTGTGATTGTCTTTAAGGGATTTTCCGACAGAGGGATGGATGTCACATTAGGGGGGGAGGCCCTACCCTGCACATAGATATGTAAAATAGCCAAGAGTAGCATTACTTAAAAATCTATTGATCAAGTAGAATCTAAAAGTATAATGCAGTAAATCTACAAAAACTTTTCTTTTTCAGTTTCTTAAGTAACATGACACATAGGCAGTAACTATACAATAACTCATTTAATAAAAGTTGTCACCTAAAAGCTTTCATGGACAGATCAGCAGATGGATGGATTAACCATACATATGAGAATTAGCCACTGCAGATTGCAACAGATGGGACTAGATTGGTCCGTTTTTACCTCATGTAACTCATTTCTCAACTTGGCCCCACTGGATCCCAACAGGATCCGACTGGAGCTAGTTGAGTCGTGGATCTCCAGCTTCCAGACAGGTCTGCTCCCTCCAGAGGACAGAACAACCTAGAATCATTTCTTGGATTAAATGGGACATAAAGGAATGTTTCTGCCTGCAGTTATTGTGAACTTTCTTTAACTCTGCACCTGACGAGTGTAGAGCAGAAAACAGAGCAGCACCAGTAGCAGCAGAGTGCACATCACATCTCCCTTCACATGTAGGACCCTCCTCATCATCAGCACTTTCCTCAGCATCCTCTCAGCTGTATTGCATTTTGAGCTAGAACCTGAAGCACAACAGCAATACATTTGGTTTGACAGAAAAAATGTAAGACTCTTAAAAAAAAAAAAACTAAAAAAAAACACAATTTGGCTTTACCTCTTAGATATGCGCCCATTTCCTCTCTGCATCGTTACATCACTTAGGAGCTGTTTCAGCAAAGCAGAAGTTAGAACAGACTCACCTATGTCAGTTTGTAATGTCCATTATGTCTCTCTCTCCATTCTCAGCCAACTTGTAATAGACTTAGACAAACTTTATTTAGTTTCGTACAGCTCTCGTGACATTTTCATTCCTTAAAGTGCATCAATGATCAAATGTAAACATTGGGAGAAAAAAAACGCATTGATATGCTCAGTTTGATGCAGAGACTGAATTTTTTCAACATTCAGCCTTTTTTCTATTTTTTCCAGTTTTTTTTTTTACTTAATGTAACGTAATCGAGCATCCTTAACTATAAAACAACACCCATAGGATACTAAATCCAATCTGAACAGTAAATGAGAAACTCTAATTATGCATATTTTCCTTTTCTCTATATTTTCTTCCATCCCTCCTTAAGATGACACACAGTCAACTGCTCTGAAAATATAAGGTTGATTAGAAATGACACATTTTATTTGCCAAAAGAACTTAAGTGTTTATGCAAAAGAAAACCAATTGATAAGATCATGTGTCCCCAGCGAAGGAATGGCGACCTGTCCAAGGTGGACCCTGCCTATTGACCGTAGACAGCTGGAAATAGGCACCAGCACCCCTAGCGACCCGCTTGGGATAAGCATGACGGAAATGGATGGATGGATGAAGATCATGTGATGCTGCTCATTAAAGGTGACATAAAAATCTTAAAATCATTAACTGTGGAAATGCGCTGATTTTTGTCAATTTTGTCTTTTAAGAAAATGTTTAACTGTCACACCCTTCCCTAACTTCTATTTTTATTCCATCGGCATAGTCGACTTATATATAGTTTTAACACTGATATAAAGACTATTTCCTAAAGCCTTTCTAAAAGATGTTGCCCAATTCAAAGAATATGAAAAAAGGAGAGTAAGTTTCAATTAAATTAAATTAAAAAAATATGTTATTTACCCCAAAAGGGAAAATTATTGACAAACAGGTTTATACTTATATAGGTGTACTAGTAGTATCTTAACTTTTCTCCTAAAATGTACAGGTGCTGGTCATAAAATTAGAATATCATGAAAAAGTAGATTGATTTCAGTAATTCCATTTAAAAAGTGAAACTTGTATATTATATTCATACATTACATACAAACTCATATATTTCAGATGTTTATTTTGTTTAATTTTGATGATTACAAATGACAACAAATGAAAATCTCAAATTCATCATATCAGAAAATTAGAATATTGTGAAAAGGTTCAAAATTGATGGCCCCTGGTGCCACACTCTAATCAGCTTAACTCAAACCACCTGCAAAAGCCTTTAAATGGTCTTTCAGTCTAGTTCTATAGGCTACACAATCATGGGGAAGACTGCTGACTTGACAGTTGTCCAAAAGACGACCATCGACACCTTGCACAAGGAGGGCAAGACACAAAAGGTCATCGCTAAAGAGGCTGGCTGTTCACAGAGCTCAGTGTCCAAGCACATTAATAGAGAGGCGAAGGGAAGGAAAAGATGTGGTCGAAAAAAGTGTACAAGCAAGAGAGATAACCGCACTCTGGAGAGGATTGTGAAACAAAACCCATTCAAAAATGTGGGGGAGATTCACAAAGAGTGGACTGCAGCTGGAGTGAGTGCTTCAAGAACCACCACACACAGACGTATGAAAGACATGGGTTTCTGCTGTCGCATTCCTTGTGTCAAGCCACTCTTGAACCACAGACAGCGTCAGAAGCGTCTTGCCTGGGCTAAAGAGAAACAGGACTGGACTGCTGGTGAGTGGTCCAAAGTCATGTTCTCTGATGAAAGTAAATTTTGCATTTCCTTTGGAAATCAAGGTCCCAGAGTCTGGAGGAAAAGAAGAGAGGCACTTCATCCACGTTGCTTGAAGTCCAGTGTAAAGTTTCCACAGTCAGTGATGGTTTGGGGTGCCATGTCATCTGCTGGTGTTGGTCCATTGTGTTTTCTGAGGTCCAGGGTCAACGCAGCCACATACCAGGAAGTTTTAGAGCACTTCATGCTTCCTGCAGCTGACCAACTTTTTGGAGATGCAGATTTCATTTTCCAACAGGACTTGGCACCTGCACACAGTGCCAAAGCTACCAGTACCTGGTTGAAGGACCATGGTATCCCTGTTCTTAATTGGCCAGCAAACTCTCCTGACCTTAACCCCATAGAAAATCTATGGGGTATTGTGAAGAAGAAGATGCAATACACCAGACCCAACAATTCAGAAGAGCTAAAAGCCACTATTAGAGCAACCTGGGCTATCATAACACCTGAGCAGTGCCACAGACTGATCGACTCCATGCCACGCCGCATTGCTGCAGTAATACAGGCCAAAGGAGGCCCAACTAAATACTGAGTGCTGTACATGCTCATACTTTTCATGTTCATACTTTTCAGTTGGCCAACATTTCTATAAATCCTTTGTTTTTATTGGTCTTCAGTAATATTCTAATTTTCTGATATGATGAATTTGAGATTTTCATTTGTTGTCATTTGTAATCATCAAAATTAAACAAAATAAACATCTGAAATATATGAGTTTGTATGTAATGTATGAATATAATATACAAGTTTCACTTTTTAAATGGAATTACTGAAATCAATCTACTTTTTCATGATATTCTAATTTTATGACCAGCACCTGTATATATCAGAGCGCTGCATTGAGCCAAAATGCTGTTGCTAGACTGATTAACCTTGACCGGAAAAATGTGTCGTATCACACCAGTTCTTGTATCACTGCACTGGCACTCATAATGGGCTCTATGCACATCTCTACTACTTCCTGAACCTAAGGCAGCTCTTTTTCTCCTGTCTCTTTCTACTGATGAATCCAGGTGTGCCTGGCGTCAGTAACCTAGGCAACACACCTGGATTGATCAGCTCATTCAGTAAATAAAAACAGGAAACAGAGAAACAGAGAAAGGGCTGCCATTAAATAAGGGAGTTTCAGATCAGTTGAGTTTCTCAGAAATCTGACTGAATTCTGACAGCTAACAAACCTGTAAGCATCAAGCTGTTGCCATGTTTGTTTTAGAGACTAGCTCCCTTGTTTTAATTACCTTCTGTTCCTCCATTAATGACATAGTATCACTGGGGACCCCTCAGGCACGTGAAAAAGTTGCCCAATTTCATAATTTTTCTCCCAAACAACTCACATCTTTGTCAGTGAAGCTGAGTTCTCCCACATCTCTTCATGGTGCCCATCTGCATTAAGATCCAAAGTTTTGAGAAAAAAGTCAGAATTCTGAGATTAAAGTCAGAATTTTGAGAAAAAAGTCCGAATTCTGAGATCAAAGTCCGAATTCTGAGAAAAAAGTCAGAATTCTGACATTTTGTCTCATACTGGAATAAAATTTAAAAATCAGTAAACTTTTTTTAGTTTTTTTCAGTGGCCCCAATCCTCTTCCGTAAGTTCACTTTTTTTGTCATGAAGATTTATTTTTATCTCTGGTGAATCACATAATTAACCATTTGCAAATAAACGTGAATAGTTTCAAAGGAAGAAGGGACTCTTCTTCAACTGGTGTTGAAATCGCGGAGAAAAAAAGAAAGAAATAGCATTAACTTTTGTGTTTAGATCATGTGTGATATGAGCAATATTATATAAGTGTCTATTCATAAAAAAAAAAAAACAAACACTTAGGCTACTTTTCTCTAAAACACAAAGGCGAAATTAGTTTAGCTACTCAACTGGCTACTCAACTCCCCGACTGACGCAAAACATCATTCCCACTTACTGGAGGAGGAAAACATCTGCAGCTCCTTTCCTTCTGTTCCACATCTGGAAGAAACCATTGAAGGTCCAAACAGTCGGAGAGCTTCAGCAGCAGCAGCAGGGCAGACTGCTCTATCAGAACCGAACCTGGACATCTCTGTCTCTGAGCTGAGAGGCATTCACGTACGTCAGGGAAAACTACATGACGATGACCCTTGCATGGTGGAATATATCGATTTAAGAAATCTGCGACACAAAGCAAAGAGGTTCAAAAAACAAAACAAAAAAGAAGCTGGAAGGAAATCCTGCCCCACATAGCTTTTTTTTTTTATTACTCCTCTAAAAGCAACGTTAACATAAATTTTCGATAGATTACGATTCCAGGAAAGTATGACTATCAGAAACTTTTTTTTAACTTAACATTTATAGCGCATGTTTGTAGACATAATTAAGAACAACTGTTTATGTTACAAATGTAAACGTTCTGTAAAGTATGTAAAATGTGAGCTAGCAGAAAACCAAGCCAATAGTAGGTTCTTGAAGGCATCGTCGTCTCTTTTTCCATCTGGTTTGAATTGAACAAATCCAGATGCCAACGCAGCAAAAAAAAAAAAAAAAAAGAAAGAAAGTAAAAAGCAGGGGGGAAAAAACAAGCAATATCTGTTATGGTGCTACAAACAGACTAAACACCTTTTCCTGAAAAGGAAGAAGAGGGGGTGAGACTGGAGAGTTGGCACATGTTTCATAAATGGTCTTCATTTTAATATCTGGTTTATAAGCAGTCAAAAGTCCTTTCAGTCTGTCAAAAAAACTTTTATCAAGGGTTCTCCAAACTTTCTGAAAGATTAATTTGTTTCTTCAGACATCCTAGATTGCAGAACATCCCATACCATCCAAACCCAGCCCTATCAACTACGTCATTAAGCCAGTGTGATTTTAAAAGAGTTCAATGACGTAACAACTGAAATAATTTTATTTGAAAATATTCTGATATTTGACATAGAATTTGTCAAAAAAGCCTGAAAAAAACTTCAAAGCTCAGAGGAACTGTTGATCAGAACAAGAAACTAAAAACATACAAAAACAACATAAAAAAAGCCAATTCATTTTTCTGATGACCCAACCAGATGATGAAAACAATTTAAATCTTTATTATATATTAAACAAATGCTGTAACAATCACAAAATCACAATCTATAAAAGGTAAACAAAATAAACACACACAACCACAAGTGCTTTTTAAAACAGAAATTGAACAGATTTGTCTTTGGCTAAAAACAAAACTGAGAGCTGAACCCTTAGAACCAACAGGGACTCTGAAGCTGCTCTGTGTCCCGCCTTGTCTGTCCTCTCGTGTCCCTCCTTGGCTGTCCTCCCTCCAAACCTCACCGTTTTAGCTGCACTTAACCAGGAAGCAGCTCCAGCACAGTCATTTGGTCAAAATGTTTCAGTGGTTTTTCCTGAATTTTAAACATTTTTAGACGCATGCACAACATAGGCTGCAACAAAAAAAAGACACTAACCTACATTATTCAGCATCAAACCCCAAACTAAAGATGCAGGCAGACTGAACTGAGGGAGCTTAGATTGTGGTAAACTGTGCTGCACTAAATCAAGCCCGTCTAACCAGCAACATAGCTGAACTAAAGCTCTGTCTCTTCTCATTTCTCCTCTCTGAAGGTTCACATTTCATGAAGGTGGTCTCCAGCTTTGCTTCCAGGTTTTCGCTTCATTAAATTTAAGGCTGAGACAGTTTTTTTTCCAGACTTCTACAATGTTATACACATTTTTCATGTGTGCCACTTTTTCTTTACAGCACGCATCAGTCAGTTTTACTGGTGACTTCCTGCATAATGTCCTCCCATCGGCCTCAAGAAGAAGCTGCACCAGCCCTCATGATCCTGAAGAGACCATTGACGTTATTGCTCTTGATGGCATCCCGGCAGGCGGCAATCACCTGGTTCTTGGGTTTTCCCACTGCAGAGAAACAGCCAAGCAAATTTTGAATAAAGAAAACTGTGAAAGATAAAAATAACCCCAAATCTTAACTTCTAATCATAGTTATGATAAAAGTTTCCCAATTGTAAACAATAACATATTAGATAACGTGACATGTTGAGGTGATCAGTACATTGCTAACATTGATGTTCTAATTTTTCATGTGTCTAGACATAGCCCCCCAATCATACACAGATTCAAAATGATACAGAACAAATATTGGTAGTATAATTAATGCACAGTTTATGTGAGATTTTATTTTATGCTCTGCATAGATTTTCTTGTCCACTGAAAGCGGTGCCCAGTTGCTGAAGCGCACAGCTTAGAGGGGAAATTGGTTTCTGTTGTTTGGATAGTTACTACCTTGGAAAAGTGCTTTAAATCTCTTCCAATGTTTTAACATCTTTAAACCACAAACCTAAATACATTTGATTAAGATCTTATGTTACAAACCACTACAAATTACTCGAAACTGTGAAAAGACAAAATGATAAAACATTTAAAATGATTAAATTATTGTATTCAAATAATGTGTTGTATTAATTTAGTTAAATAATTTCATTGTTAATTTATTTGTTGCTAAAATGTTTTGTTAAATTATTATTTTTTTCATTAAAATCTTTATTAAATTATTACTAAGAATTATTAACATTAACAATATTATTATTGATAATACTTTTTCATTTATGACTATGTTTCTTTTGTTAAAATACTTAACAAAATGTTATGAGGCCTGCATTTATATTAAGGTCCCTTGCCTTCAGTACCAATCCAACAGTTCTCATTTCTTTCTGATGTTTTTTAAAAAAACATCAGAAAATAATCTGCACTATGTAGACCAGGGAATGCAGCGAAATGATTGGGGGGAGTGAAAAAGGTTAAAGCAGGGCTAGGATCTAAAGAATATCAAATGCATTGGGAAAAACTCAGAACTTTTGTTTGAATATCATCTGTACTGACTTTTATCTCAATTTCTTTTTTCCTCCTTCCCTGCCACATGGACTAAAAATGGAAAATATCTAAAAACTTGACATCGAATTTAGTGCATCTTTACAAATAAGCAACTAACCCATCTTGAAAAATGAGTTAAAGATTGTGTCTCTAGATATTTAAAAGCGTTAACAGTTAATTCTCCCAAAGACTTTCTGCTGTGACTGCAGTAAGAGGTTGTCCTATTAGAATTTAACTTGACTGATCTCACAATGGAGAAATTCACTTGTGACATCAGCTCTTATAAACAGAAGGTGCTTAAAGGAGGAAAAAGTACAAGAGTGCATCCAGATATATATATATATAGTGGATGGTAGAAAATAAAGGAGAATTTAACTTGACTTATATATACAGTATATTATGTACAGTAAAGTGGTAGAAGGTGAAGTGAGGTTTCTGGTTTGTTAAATAGATTAACGGTATAAGTTATTGCAGTGTTATTACACCAGGTTATAGTGCAGTGGCATTGTAAAGTCTGATGGCAGCAGGGATGAGTGACCTGCGGTACCGCTACTTTTCCTCTACAATGGTGCAGGGGATGAAAGGTGTTGTCCATGATGGATGTAAGGTTGGACAACACCCTCCTCTCGGCCACTTCCTCCACTGAGTCCAAAGCGTAGTACTATTAAGTATTAAGCTGGAGGCTGTTGGTGGAGATGTATATATAGAAGATTTTATAAATTGGTCCTTAAAAACTACAGGCCCATCTCAAACCTGCCATTCATCAGTAACATTATTGAAAAAGTTGTGTTTCAACAATTACATGTATTCCTAACAATGACCAGCTGCTTTGATGTCTTTTGGTCAGGTTTCCGTGCCAACCATAGTACTGAGACTTCCCTGATTAAGGTGCTCAATGAAATCAACCTGAGTCTGAAATAAACTCAGACTCTGGAAGAATCACAGTGCTGGTATTATTGGACCTCCGTGCAGCGCTTGATACTGATGATCACTTGATTTCATTAGAGTGTCTGGAAAACTGGGCAGGCCTTTCTGGTACAGCAATGGATATGGTTTAAATCCAACCTAAGGTACAGGGACTTCTATGTGTCAGTAGGGAACTTTAAATCAGACCCCAGAAAAATCACATGCAGGGTTCCTCAAGGCTCCATTCTGGCCCCCCTCCTATTCAACATCTACATGCTCCGTTTGGCTCAGATAATAGCAAACAACCACATCGGTTACCATTACTATGCAGACGATGCACAGCTTTACATCACAATGTCGCCAGAAGATTATGAACCCATCAGAGCGGACCGATTTGTTGTCAGTGTATCAACCTCCCAGACCATTCAGGTCTTCCAGTTCAAGCCTACTCTGTCCACCCAGAACTAGAACTAAACATGCAGCATTTAGTTCCTATGCTTGACTTATCTGGAACAAACTCCCAGAAGATTCTAAGTGCTGAAAGCCTGAGTTCCTTAAAGTCAAAGTTAAAAACCCATTTGTTAAGAGCTGCCTTTGACTGTTGAAGTTAAACTATTAACTAAGGGATTATTAGTTCCAGTTTGTGGTCCAATTGTTTAATTAGTTTTACACATGTTTTTAATCTTTATTGGCTTTTATTTTCCTTATATTTTATTATCTAATTCATATAAAGCACCTTGAATTTTCCATATACTGAATTGCGCTATACAAATAAACTAGCCTTACCGTACCTATATATATTTCAGGTTTTAATTTAAAAAACTGTTTCCAAACAATGCACAATTTTCGCCGCTTTCTCACTTCTGCACAACTTGATCGTATCACATAAAAGCTACACCAACAGACAGATGTTTCTAGTTGCCAGACGTGATGTACCTCTGAGTCTACCGGCTCGCTGGATGGCCTGGTTGACAGACTTGAGACGGGCTAGAAGAGCGTTGTGGTTGTTAGAGCGGATTTTGTATTCATTGATGAGATCCCTGTTCAGGTCATACAGCTCCCTGTAACGCTTCTTAGTCGTCACCCTGCAGATATAAGTGATTATTTCAGACTTTAAAACAATGTTGAGTCACAAATTAGCTGGTAACAGTCAGTACTATTTAGACACAGATCATTTGTACAATTGTAACAGTTTCTGGAGCCCGCTCTAATGTCACCCACACATCTGTACCTTCCACAAGCTAATAAAGCTGTGATGGCAGCGTTTTGGTAACTCACATGTCAGCCATGAGGCGAGCATCCTCTGCCTGGACCAGCATGTTTCTGATATAGTTGGAGTGGTCAGCCATATCAGCTGTTAACTTCTGATGCACAGAGTGAAATTCGTCCACCTGCAATTAAAATATCCATTAATCTGCATTAATACATCTCATAGACTTGTGTCTGTACCAGAAACAGCTAGATGATGATTTAGATTTCCCTTACAAACAAAATTATCGTAAAAGTAACAGAAAAAAGACAAACAAAACAGACAGTATTAAAGCTGGATCCTCTTGGATATCTAAGATTTATTTTCTTCTCAGAAACTTTGTTTTGCATTGTTCAACTTTATTTTACAGGCTAAACTAAATGCACTTCAGCCTTTTAGGCTTAACAAAAACATCTTAATTTGAGAGAAAACCTCTGTGAGTGTTGTGCGAAGCTCCTCGAAGTATGAGGGGAAGTCTGCTTCCACTGAAAGGTCCTCTATTGCCAAGAAGGATGTTAGGGACTGGACCAGATCCCCTGCTAGATCGATATCATCTGTCCTCAGCGTGATCTGAAAGGCAGTTTAATATATTTATTAACAGGTGGTTCTGTTCAGTACAGAAGCGTATTGCATTCACTAAAGAAAAAAAAATCTGACAGCTTATCTCATAATTATGAGATAAGATGTCATAATTTTAGATTTGTCATATTTAAGATGAAGTAGGACAGTCATTGCTAAGCTACGCTACGCTACTTGAAATTTGAGCAATGAGTGGGTTGTCGGATTTAATATGCTTTTATTTCCTTTTAGATATGCAATACTGGGAAATACTGAGTTTCTGTTTTTGTCAGCATTGCACAGTAAGTCCTTTGAATTGTTTAGCGGAAAAGCCCACTCTGACTTACCAGAGATCGCACTTTTCCTGCAGGTGCGTATAAACCAGCACAGGATGCTTTATGGTTATAAATGAATGCATCTGAGATGCATTCCAGCTGGCTTGGTGGTGTCACAAAGAACTGTCTGCCAGTACCTTCTAAATATCCTAGATCCTCCATGAGCACAGCTGAAGCTTCAGAATCGTTTAAAACGACCAGGTTCCAACTTCATGCAGCATGTCGATTCATATGACAAACTAAAACCATACTGAATCTGTATTAATGGAGCTGTTGACGAATTTTCGCATATATATAAGGCTGCATGTTTACTCCACATGTAGTAATGGTTATAGCAGAGTACTTTATTGATGAAGTGAAAACCAGGAGCGGAAATCCAACGTCTATCAGGTCAGACCTGGTTACAGAAAACTGTTCAGTGGACCAGATGCAGATATTCTTAAGAAGTAATCATGAAGACCAGTTTTCTGGAGATGCTTTAGCACTGGCTCAAATAATCATAACCAAATATATAGATAAGATCTTGTAATTACGAGATCTTTTATTTACTCTAATTATGAGATTGTATCTCGTATTACGAGATAAGATGTCATAATGATGAGATAATATGAGAAAAATCATAACTCCAAGATACTGATCTCATAATTATGAGATCAGCTGGCTGATTTTTTTTTTTGCAATACCCCTCCGTAGTTCAGAACCGTCCGTCCACCTATAGGCCTAAATGAAGAGATTGAATGATTTTAAAACATTCAACATCATAATGTTTTTTAAAAAACAAAAAATGTATTTATTAATTGGGGATTTTTTTAAATGAGATATGTATTAGCAGTTCTTTTAAAGCTGTTGGTTTTAGGGCAGAGGCACGTTTATAATTGTTCATAGCCTTTAAAAAATTCAAGAGTTTATGAAAAAACTTAATATCAGCTTAATATTGTTATTTATATAAGAAAGCTTTGCATATAAAGGTAGCATGTTGTTGTCACAGAAAACCTTAAATCATTTAAAAGACCATTTGTTGTTTACCTGTCCATTACTGGCCATATGAAAGGACATGAATCCTCCTCCACGGAGGGAATTAAACGTAACATTAGGACTCTCTACCACCTCTGGAAGCAGGAAGTTCTGATTGAGCCACATTACCACCTACAGGCACAAAAACATGAACACAAAGAGCAGAAACTGTTTGTATCAGAATGCTGCTTCCTTAAACAGCCAAGTTAGTTCTTTGTTCTCACATTCTCCCTCCCCTCAGTAGGTACCCACCCTCTGCGGTCGCTCGTTGATGCTGAAGGAAACTATTCCAGCAGGAGGGGCAGCAGATGAATCCTCTATGATCTCATACATTGAGAAACGAGGCAGCTGGCGAGTGATTTCAAACACGTGGAACTGAGTGCTGAAGAAGGTTAGAGATGATTGACAGCCGCAAATGGTCAAATACTACAATCAATCATCCAGGGACTGTCATCTTCAAAAGGCAGCATGAAGTCATGAAATTATGCTAATATTTAATAAAGGATAATTGTTAGACCCTACCTGGTCCTCCCTCCGACAAAGGCTTTAATGTGCAGATCAACTGGTATGTCTTTTGGAGGGACAATGGGGACTTGGACACAGCCTGACAGATTCTGGACACTTGGATGTACAACATGACTCTCACCCTCAAATATTCCCTCAGCAAAGATGAGAACTGCACGAATGATAGTTTCTGGAGAGAGGAAAAGAGACAGAGTTAATTCTTCAAGATACGTTAAGCGTGTCAATACTTTATTAACATTAAGCTACCATTTGGAGTGGAGATGCTGAGCTCTACGTGAGCCCTCTGGGCCTCCGTAGCAGCTCTGACGGACAGCGCGGTCTGCAGCTGAGTGTTGGCTGGTATTACACCCATTGTGCTGTTTGCCTGCGACACACCCTGAAATAGATGGTTTGGGTGAAGGTTAGCTTCTACAAAAAAGCCTTTAACTCTACAGTAAATTTTATCATTAAATCTGATATTTTTGAAATACAGAAACAAAATCAGTGTTATTATTAAATATTTCTGACAGAAATATATCATAAAGGTTTCATCTTCTATGGCAGTTAAATTGATAGGAAACATATCAAAACTCTGAAAAACTAATTGATCATCTGTAGCCTTTGGTTTTATAGGCTTTAATAATCTCACAATGCATTAATCATTTCTAAACTCGCCACCTCTTTATAACACATACTTTTCTCTTACTGACCTATAAGTTCTCTTGCCTTTAGGAGTCTCTTTATGTCTTTGTAAAATAGAAAACATCAGAATAGTTCCTCAGAGGTATTGCCTTGTATTGGCATGGTAGCATCACACGGCTGCAGCAGATTTGTTCCTGATCTGAATTTTTTATTTCTTATGCAGGGAATTAAATTCAATAAAATTATCCTAAGATGATTTGAGCATTGTTATCATGCTGGAGCTAACCATCAGCAGATAAGAACAAAGAGTCATAAAAAGAGGGAAATGGTCAGCAGCAATACCCTGTTGTTACAGAAGAAACTTTTTAAACCAAATTCTAAACATGAATATCTGATTATTGCAAATTATATCAAGACTTAGGCCAGAAACTGCTCATCTCATTGGTTAATGTCCATTAGTAGGGATCTTTGCAAACTATAGCTTCATTTTCTGTTGTTAGCCAAAAGAACAACGCTGAAACTCACGATTAATCATGATTAATTTGATTAACTGTTTTAACCATCAAAATGAGCCTGTGTGTTCTTTTACTGTAGTACACATCAGTTTTTGGGATGTCAGGTATTTGAAACATCTGATATTCAAAGAATATCAGAATCAGAATCAGAAATACTTTAATAATCCCAGAGGGAAATTACTTAAATATTTCTGACACCTTGTTGAATCCATGCCACAAAGGATTAAGGCAGTGCTGCAGGCAAAGGGGGGCTCTCTACATTTACATAATAAACTTAACAATACCTACATGTGTTGGAGCCAAAATTCAAGGCTAAGGGGATCAACGATTTGTTGTAACAGTAGATTTTATTTAATATATATTTAACTTCGACATAAACACAACACAGTAAAAGTTAATTTAAATAAAATATTGTCGCACAGACGTTTACACTGAAATGCATTCTGGGTAAATGACGAATGCTATAGATAGATCCAGTAGCACTAGCTCTGTCCACCCAAAACAACAATGAATTAAACCTTTTTTAGTTTAAGACGGAGAGGGTTTCAATTATTAAAAATTTAGAAATCAGAAAGATGCTTCACTGTCACTTTAAACAGTCCTTCATTATCTTCCAATTTGATTTTGACTTCAAGTTAGCTTCTACTGATGGTGTTAGCTCTAGCCAATATCGTAAACGGCAGATCATAAGACAATCACATTTGTTTGTTTAGACAGATATCTGAGGTATAATGGTTCATTAAAAGTAGGGGCAGCGACGCAGTATGGCATTGTCTAAATTTACACCAGTCAAACACAATATGATAAAAAACAACTCTGGTAATGTTAGCCTTCCGGTGTTTACTCTGTAGATTCCACTGAAGTAAGACCTAACTGTGTCATAAACCCAGCATGTACTGGACAAGTGACTGACAACCTTCACTGGTAAAACATATAACAAAAAACATGTAATGATTAAAGTACGTAATTCTGTGTATTTAAGTGTCAAAAATGGCAATTTTTAAGTTAAAATGAAAATCACAACATATTTAGACCATATTTAGGTCATATATAGGTTAATCTGGTCTTAGATTTATATATACGGTTTGTAACTCTGAAAACGACAAAGACAACATGCTCACCTTGGCATTTTCTTCATAGTTGCGTAGCTCAAGCAGCAGGTTCTGTCTGCGCTGGCTGAGCTCCCGAATGAGATCCTGTTCAGTGTTGGAGTCCATCAGATTACCTTTAAAATCCTTACTAGCTGGCAGGTAACCCCGAACTAGTAATTACAAATGTGGGCAAATCTCATTTTTCTGTCAGTAAAAAACATTCAGAATGCTGCTATTTAAGCCTTATGCGAAACATGTTGAGCACCAAGCTTACCTTCTCCTTCTATGGAGGTGCAGATGAGTTGCTTTTGTCCATCTAACCTGTAGTCTCCCTCCACCACTGCAGCTACAGATGAGGAAAAATTGTCTTTAAAGATGACCTCTCCTGTGCGGTCGCTTCTTGCATCAATCTGAAACATGAGCAGGAGGTGAGCATAAAACAGGCTGCCAGGAGCTAAAACCCTAAAACTAACACTTAGAAACATCCCACTCTTTTAGCATGAGCACACACCTTTCCATTGGACCAGCCAGTGATGAGCTCCACAACTCCATCAGCATTCAGGTCAAAGGCATGGATGCTCATTGCATGGTTCTTAGACTAAGAAAAAACATCAGTATGAATTTAACCTGACTAAATATTAATGATTTATAGATACAGCTACATATTATTCTAAAGTCTACAAATTCTTAGCATAGTAACCTTTATCCTCCAGTAACGGGCTGTGCGATCATAAACTCCAACAGTGCCATTAGCCAGAGCGTAGCCAAACCTACTTCCATGCATATGACACAATGATGTCACCGTCTGAGAAGACAAGATAACACACAAAAGTTATTTTGAACCTGCAGCACCAAACCAAAAATCAGCATAACTTTTTCCAGTTGCACTGAAAAAGAAAATATACTTCATATATTATAAATATACACCAAATTTTAACGTGATGGATCACAACAACAATGGTGTTTGTTTACCTCATTTTCACTCATCTCCGACACAAGCTGATCCTCTTTGAAAACCCTGATGTCAAAGTCCTCAGACCCAACAAGAAGCTGTAAACAAAAATACACAAAAAAGTCAGACTAAAAGTATGAATCATCAGCTTTTTTAAAGTCCACACTAATTATTGAATACAGTCTATTTGACTTCTTTACCCTTGAATGAAATATAACCTGAAAATTAAAGCCATTCCCAGATGTTCTCAGGTTCTCTGAAATAACCTAGATTGTATTTCAACAAATACCTTCTTCATGACAACATGACAGCCTAAAAACATTATGCCAAGAGAACTGCAATTCATCATCATCATTACAAACTGTTTTTCACAACATTTTCTGGGCGATATAAACAGCTGCATCTCTTAGTATCCAAAGATGCTGTACCAATGGAGACAAAATGGATTCAATCTGATATCTTTCTCCAATATCTAGAGTCGAAATTGGACATTTTTTGGTTTTAGGGCATACTAAATCGTTTTGAATACAATATCTTCTGCTGTATGGGGCCAATGGTCGGATAAAGCTGAACTTCTCCCAGCGGTTGCTGGTCAGCTAGCTGAGAGAGGTTCACCGCTGTTTTCCTTCACTTTCAAAAGTTGTAAAAACTGTTGTTATTATATTATAATTATTACTAAATTAACCTAGACAGGCAGAATTCATAACTTTTGCTTCTCCTTTTAAAATGAAAAATAAAAGATCAAATAAATCACAAGATCCAGTCACCAATTTGTGTGATATTACATACAGACCCATGATGACTACAAAAACTTGATCAAATCTTCACCTCTAAGAGAATTGGAAACTATTTCTAGTAACTTTTCTGAATCATGAAATGTAAACCTTTAAAATTATCTTTCAACATGTTGTAATTGTTTTTAAAACAACTGGAGCAAATCTTTACTGACCTCATTTTTTCCATCTCCAGTGAAGTCGCACAGTACCAGAGACCTCACGTTATCGCCGGTTACCTGAAGAAATATTGACATATGTGCTAATTACACATTTTATGAACCAGTTCAAGAAAAAAATGGTTTATGAATGGAATATAAATAAAGAAGCACAATTTAGTGTTAAGAGCTAGATTTTCTGGAGAGGGTCATGTATAAATGATTCATTTTTAAAGCTGACTGATGGTTAATGAGCTAAAGTGGAACTGAAATTGAAAATGAAGGCCTTGGAAGCCCTATGAAAATCTTTTATTTGTTCAGATTTTTTGAATTCCTAAATCCAACCAATGGAGGTGTTTAAGGAGTTCCAAGAACAGAAAACAAAAAGAAGCTTTGCCAACGCTTGGAGAGGACATCATTTAATCAGAACTTAAAGGCCTTGGCCATAACAAGATTTCCCCCAAACAATATGAACACTTCACGTTACATCATCCACCCATAAGAACATTTCAAAATAGCTGGAAACCAAAATAGCCAAAATAGGAAATATTCGATCAAAGTCCAGTAGTAGATGAAAAAAAACTTCTGTGTGACCAAAAGGCAACTAAATGACCTGATGAAGACCACTAACATTGGTTCAGTGGCAAATATGAGACACTGGGTAAAACAAGGCTCAGTGGTCAGAATCCATAAAGTATTAAATATAAAAACAGACATCCTTACACTAAATGCTTGGAGGGGTTTGGACAGGAGAAGGAGAGTAAAAATTGGCCAGGTTTTGACTGGACCAATTCCACCCCTATATTCAGGCATAATGGTGGGTCCTGATTTTACACTACAAGAAGTGGCTATCTTGATTGTGCACCCGAAATAATGGATTTATAAAAGTACTGGACCATTGGTGGGAGGAACATGATGTTGTAGGATGACAAAATTCATTACTGAAAAACAATAATATGCAAAGAAAACCTCCAGTTTACTTGAAGGTCGGTAATGAAAGATCCTGAATGTCCTAAAGTGGCCCTCTCAGTAACCCAATTTCAATCTGACATAACCTCTTTTGAAATCTGAGAGGGACGTTGCAGCAATAAATCCTTAATGAGCAAGATGCTCTCTGTCAACCAATGTCAGCAACACGTCAACACTTAGAGAAAATGTTCTGAATCTCACCGTCCAAAAGTGGTCGTTCCCTTCATAGTCAAAACCTTGCAATGCACAATTCCCTCCGATAATGGCAAGAGGGGAGGAGATGTCTCCTAGCTTTCCCAACACAATAGCATTTGCCCCATCTGTCACCTTAAACAACACAAAACAATTAAAAAACTACATAGGTATATCATAAAAAAACTCTAAATCTAAAAGTTGCTCGACATGCAGCAATTCCACAGCCAGGACTTTTTTTTACTTACATCTCTGTAAAATACATCAGTATTGTCATGAACATCATAGGCCAACAGGTTAGTCTGAGATCCTACAAGGAGCGTGTCTCCAGTGGTGTTTGGTCCAAGTGTCCCTGCCGTCAAACATGTCACGGCCTGGTTGATGTTGAGCAGGGAAATGTCAGAGTCATGGGTGCTCTTGCTCAGTCGATGGGTCGCAGGTCTCTGACCGCGATCATGAGGGTTGTGGATAAAAACCTTTAAATGAAAAAAGAAAGGAATATATAAAAATGGAAATACAACAGTTGGAGACATTGTATCTACTTCCAATCAGCAAGATTCTCTAGTATTCTTTTAAAAAGATATTGGTTTATACCATTTAGGGTATGAATCATCATAACTGAAGCACCTTAACTGAGTACTCTTGATGTGGAAAAGCAGAGACGTCAAAGGGCATCTCATCACTATGCTTCTATATACTATATTTCTTTTCACAGTTTTGTGTAATTAGTGCTGGACAGTTAGTCCACTGTAAAGACAGATGGATGCAGTTTTTTTTAGAATGATGCTGATGCCAATTGTACTGGCATTCATACAAGTATCCAAAAAGGAAAAAAAATATCTGTAAAAAATCCTCTGGTTTCAAAATATTTAAAGGTATTAGCTACAACGTTTTTATTAAAAGGGTTAATTTTTCCAAAATGAATACATCAAAAAAGATCAATAGCTGTGCTGTAAAAGGTACTAATTTTAATGAAAGGATAATACCTACACAATTTTTTTTTAAGTGTTGACAGGTCCAAAATATATACATACTTAGTTCTGACTAGAATTCCAATGTCTACGGTAAAAGGCTCCAATTGCCCTGCGATGGAATGGCAACTTGTCCAAGTCTTCCTCAAAAAGTTATCAGTGTGCTTCATTTACATATACATATATATATATATATATACATACGTGTGTGTGTTTGTATTGTCACCATTTTATTATTTTCAGACTAATCTACTGATACCATTAAAGGTATATCTGCTTTAACTGTTTATTTCATTTGCAAAGAAGAAACCCATATTTCTCTCACCTTTCCAGCTTGTGTGGCTGCTGTAAGACATGGGTGCACTCCATCAAACTTCCCAACAGACACCATGCGGGGGTTAATCTTGTGGTTCAGCTTCAGTGTGAAGATGGGGACCATCATAATGGAGCTTCCTTATCTCTAAAATTAAAACGAACGGTAAAACTGCTTCGAAACAAAAGTGCAATGTTTCCTCAAGTTAACACAAAGGTAACAAATCCCTGATGTCAGTAAAGGTGTTTCCGTGTTAGTAACTTGTTGGCAATGCGACATTTTGGGCCTCTAATATAATTACAGGCTTTGCCCTGAACCAGTCTGCTGTTGCTTAGCAACAACGAGTAGCAAGCTAAAGCTGTTCATCTGGCTAATCTCTTTTGCTGATTTGCGACACATGAACACGGAATTTATACCCAAATCAGTTCACTTTACAAGCTAACAAATTATGTCAGCCATAAAAAAGAGAATAAATTGCCAGACTCTTATTTAGATAAAACTCAAGTCATTTCAATGAGAAAACTGGAAGTTAGCTAATCATGTCATTAGTTATTTTTAATTGAACACTAAACTCATACGAAAATACAACAACATAAAACAATGATGTCTTTTAGAAACATACCAGATGGTGCGAGCCCCTCCTTAGCTATATACTATCGGGGTTTGTTGGTATTAACTCGGCTAACCCTTAGCTTCACAGTCTAACGTCACCCTGGCAATCTCACTTCCGGTTTTTTTCTTTTCAAGTTAAAACATTTTTTTCTTTATTGTAAGGTAACATTTTGATCAACTACTATTCAAAGAGGTTCAAATGGGTTATGTATAATATGTTATTAGAATGAACGTATTTTCCTCATTATTAAACATCTAACCTAATATTAAAAGACAGATTTATGCAAAGACAGGGTTATAATTCTCACATAAATGAAGCTCTCTAAAACCATCCGTAAGTCTGCCCTATTTTATCTAATAGTTAGTTGTGGTTAAAAAAATAACAGTTTATAGATGTCAGGACAGTAAACCTGGTAAAGGGCCAAAAGGGGCCTTACGGGAATCATATCCTTACACAACTAGCAGCAAAAGTCATATGGATCAAATTCTGCACTGAAACATGTATGGAATCACTGCAGTTTGTGGTTTCTGCGTTGAGTAGAAACTACCCTTAACTACCCTTTAGATCCTTATTAGTTCCTCCTTGGTGTCTACCCATTAGTTACTCTTTGTTACCTTTGTAACTACACATTAGTTCCTAGATTAGATCTCTAGGTGTTCTCTTGGTGTATCCTATTGTAACCTGTTACCAATATATGTATTTAGATTAAATATTGAGTTTTAAGATATGAAACTTAAATTAAATATATATTTAGATTACATATTTAAATATAGAGTTTGTTTATAGATTCAAGATTATTATATAAATATTAGATTTATATGTAGATAATGGGTGTAAAAATTGATTACATTACATATACAGTAGATTAAGTATTTAGAGTTTAGCCTTTAATGTTAGAAAAAAACATTATATGTGAAGAAAGTCATCTAAATAACAAACATGTGATAGTGATGCTTTTTTCATATGCATTTTTTTTATTTTTACTTTGAATCCCCATAAATAAATGAACATGAAAAGAAAAGAAACATTTAATATACATTTTGTTCTTGCAGCAAGAAGGTTCCTGGTTCAATTCCTGGCCTGGGGATCGTTTTGCATGGATTTGCATGTTCTCCTTGTGCATGCATGGGTTCTCTCCTGGTACTCTGGCTTCCTTCCATAGTCCAAAAACATGACTGTTAGGTAATTGACTTCATTAAATTCTCTTTAGGTGTGAGTGTGTGTGTGAATGGTTGATTGTCCTGTTTGTCTCTGCTGCCCTGCAATAGACTGGTGACCTGTCCCGGGTGTACCCCGCCTCTTGCCCATAGACTGCCGGAGATAGGCACCAGCCCCATCCCAACCCTGACCCAATAAGCGATAGAGGATGGATGGATAGTTGAAGGCTTCCTGAACAACAGTGGTTTGAGTTGCTTTTAAAAGTTTTCATGAAGTGCTTCTCCAGGTCGGTCCTGAGCATGGTGCTTAACCATAACACCATAATATGACCATAACATTACATTAAAATACCTTAAAGGTTTTTGGGGTTGAATTTTACTAAAAGGTTTATGGGGTATAAATAGTCCACTTTCCATTGCTGGTATCCACTTGTGTTAAATGACCAGCTGGTATTGTTCTTTAATTTCTTTTTATAATATTTAGAACAAAAGAAAGGTTAACTTTGAGACTGAAAGAAAACTCTAAATATCTGTAGCTTTATTATTCTGTTATTTAGGTTATTAATGTTGATGGGAAGCAATTACGCTGGTAAACATCCTTAGTAGTTTTTCCACTCTTTTTGAGCAAGATTAGCTTTATGTATATATATATATATATATATATATATATATATATATATATATATATATATATATATATATATATATTAGCAATATGTTTTTTTCATGTTTTGTTTGCACTTTATATTTTCTGCTGCTGATTAAGATGATTAAAAAACATACAATTGCACATAATTCCTGTAATTTAGAAATATAAGAAAAGCTTAATGAATAAGTTTATAAGGAAAATGTCTAAGATTTAAAGAAAAAAGGGCCTCGTAGGCTTAAAAAAATGTAGGCTAAACTAGTGGCGTGCAGAAGCCTAAACATACTTGTATGTGTTTGAATACTAACATAAACAGTAAAATAAATATCATAATTAAAGAAATGTTGGTTGTTCAAACAAAACAGTTTTCGAAAAACGCCGAAGAAAAGGAGGGCTCGTCCGGGATTTGAACCCGGGACCTCTCGCACCCAAAGCGAGAATCATACCCCTAGACCAACGAGCCAGCTGAAGCTCACCTTGCCACGTCTACAATATATATCCAGCACACTGTTCAGGTTTGCAAAGGTATTACTTCTGTATTTCGTTTGTATACAGCAAAGTCAGCCCCATTTAGATGAACACACCTCTTTTCTGGAAAAACCTGGGCACAACGTTAGGTTTGGTTAAATACATGTGTTGTATCTATTAGTCATTTGTAACGTCTGCCTACAAGTCTTCGTTCAGGTTGAAAATATTCCAGTTCCGGGGCTGTTAACTTAAGCTAGCTAAGTGGCATTAGCATCTGGGCAGCCCTACAGTCAAACGATGGCATCTGAGGCGAAGCGACCGAAGGTTGTACATTTCTCACACTTAATAATTTACTAAAATTAATCTCAGCTGTCATCTCTATATGAGTTTATTCACACACGCCGTGCTAATCTAGAGTTTCTTGCTAGCCGCTAATTCCAGACCATGTGACTTAGAGTACCGTATATTAAAATGTGAAGCAGCATGGCGGAAGTTCCCCATGCTTCTTTTTTAGGTGTTAATGACTGTATCTAACAGTTTCAGTGAGAAGTGCATGTTTGATTTATCTGATGCAGGTTGGAGGCGGTTCAGAGCGCCTGCAGGATTTCCTTCTGTGGTGTGACAGAGTGGGTCTGGTCCTCAATAATAAGGTTTGTTATTGTACTTTGCAGAAATTACTGTACAGTCAATGGGTCAATCCAAGCTACTGTTTTTTCTTAGATAGAAACCTTTGAACCAGTCTTACTGTATGATCTAGTTAAAGTGTCTCTGTAAAGTGCCTTGAGATGTGATGTGAATTTAAGCTATTTAAATTCACTTAATTGAATTGAAATCAATGGTGCCGCATATTGATAAATAACAAGTCAGGTGTGATTATAAGGTGGACAAGACGAAGCTGAAGTTGGTTTCCAATTTGGGAATTGCATACTTTTCCCTACCTTCAGCATCTTTAATCTACTCTAATTAAAAAACTACAACACCCAGACATGTCAAACATGGACTAGATTATTCTAAACTAGTTGTAGAATAAATACAACCAGGTTTGGGATTTGTGAAAGCTTTCTCTGATTTGTGAAAATCTAATAATAACTGATTTTAAAACTTTTTTTAGTGTCCCATGTCACAGTAAAAGTGGAGTAGCTCTAAAGCTAAAACACCCAGACACATCAAACCTGGAATATTTTTTTTAATAGAAAAATAGAATAATTTAAACCGTGTCTGGGATTTGTGAAAACTTTGTCTGATTTGTGAAAATTCAATACACTTTTAAGAAAGTGTTGGCCTAGTGCAGGGGTCTTTACCCCTAACTGCTCAAAGAGCCATAATGGACCAAAAAAACAAAAAATAAATCTGTCTGGAGCCGCAAAAATGTAAAAGTGTTATATATGCCTTTTATGGCAACACAGTGTATCCCACTGTAGAAAATGACTATGTGAACTTAAATATATAGTAAGTATTCATTATTAAATGTTTATCCTGGAGCAAATGTCACATAGGGTTGCAAGTTAGGACCACTGATCTCTTTGGTTATTACGGAAATGATTGTTTACATTTATTTATTGTACAAATGTTTACAGCATTGGAAAACATAATTAATTTAATATTAAAACAAACAAACAAACAAAAAAAAAGATTTTCATCAATCTTTGAAAAAGCTCCAGGCTGCCGCAAGGGGGACGCTTCAGAGCCGCATGTGGCTCCGGAGCCGTGGGTTACCGACCCCCGGCCTAGTGGTTAGAGCAGTGCTCTTGTGCTCTGAGAAGGTTCGATCCCCACAGCCTGCATTCTGGGTCTCTGAGCAAAACCCTTAACCACACACTGCTCCCGCGGCGCCGCACTATGGCAGCCCACTGCTCCCACAGCGGATGGGTTAAATGCAGAGGTAAATTCTAGAGTGTGAGATCAATAAAGTTCAATTATTACACTTTTTTGTGTCCATGTCACACTAGAAGTGCTCTAGCTCTAAAACTACAACACCAAGACACATCAAACCCGCACTAGATTGTTCTAAACACTACTCTGTTGTGTTATACTTTAAGAGCTAGATTACTTCTACTGTGACATGGACACAAAAAAATGTGTTGAAATCAGTTTTAGTTCAAGTTTCACAAATCAGAGAACGGTTTCACAAATCCTAGATCTGGTTTTAATTATTCTACAAGTAGTTAAGAATAATGTAGTCCAAGTTTGAAGTGTCTAGGTGTTGTAGTTTTTTAATTAAGAGTAGATAAAGGATGCTGAAGGTAGGGAATAATTAAGTGGAATCACCCGTTATTTAATTCCCAAATCCTGAATCAGAAGCCAACTCATGCTTCGTGTGAACAAGTTGTTAACAATAACATGTCGGATAAAAGCTGCATAAAGGTGTACATTAATGTGGAAGGAATGCAGCTTCGGCACTGCTGGGGGACATCGCCAGTGTTACTTGATGATGCGTGAATTATTAGCAGGTTTCTCCTTATGCAAACTTTCAAGAGGGAATTGCACTCTTTTTTTAATTTTATTTTATTTAATTATTTTTGTTACATAAGGTCCCAACTGTCTAAAACCCAAGCATTTTCTGTCTGCAGGTGTTCGTAAGCACAGAGGGAACAGTAGCAGACTATGGGATGCTGGCGAAGGAAAACATAGAGAAGGGGGAGGTTTTGTTCACCATCCCCAGATCTGCTCTTCTCCATCAGGAAACGACAAAGGTTTCTGCCTTGTTGAGTAAAGGTGATTTCTCTTAAGATGTGTTTTAAAACTTCAGAGCGACTTGGTTCTAACAGTTCAACAATGTTTCGTCTTTATACAGAGAGATTGTCACTGGAGAGCTCCTCCGGTTGGGTTCCCCTGCTGCTGGCTCTTCTTTACGAGTCCACGTCTTCTCAGTCCCACTGGAAACCTTACCTCTCCCTCTGGCCTGACTTCAAAGCATTGGATCACCCCATGTTCTGGTAGGTGGTATATCCCTACCTTAGTCTCAGCTGAAGGACTTTTTATGATTAATGTGGTTTCATCAGGTCTGAAGAAGAACGAGACAGACTACTAAAGGGAACGGGAATCCCAGAGGCAGTGGCAAGAGACCTATCCAACATCCAAGCAGAGTATAGAGACATAGTCCTGCCTTTTATGATCAGACATCCTGAGCTGTGGAACCCCAGTACACACACTCTGGAGCTTTACACACAGCTGGTAGCATTTGTCATGGCCTACAGGTTAGCATGCATAAACCCTAACTCTATCTGTTTTATTAGTTTTGTTTTCTACATTTGTGAATTTTATTTCTGCCCCATCTGAAGCTTTCAAGAGCCACAGGATGATGACGACGATGAAGATGATGAGGAGGAGCAAGAGAAGAAGGCCCCAAATCCTCCAATGATGGTCCCCATGGCGGACATGCTCAACCACGTGTCCGACCATAACGCTAACCTGGAGTTCGGTCCAGTAAGGAGACTCGTCTCAACTCTGTTTTGTTCCGTTTATTTCGGCCATTTTGCAAAGAAAATGTGTAAAGAAAAAACTCATTTGTTGAGCAGAAACAGAATGTGATGGAAAAAAAGTGGAGCTTGTTTCACATAACTCAATGATTATCCTGTTTAAACAGATTCAATACAACATTTTTTTTATTACAACTGTCAGTCTCCATTTAACACCGTTATTTAAACATTAACGTAAAAAAAATGTGACCAGATCTACAAAAAACAAAACAAATCTGGGGCAATTAGGATGCTTATGAGTTACAGTGCAGGACAGACACAAAGTTAGCTCTCTGAGAATTATCTGCCTTTAGCCTCTCCCAGTTATAAACCATTCTACAGTCTTCACCCTGGCTTCTTTTTATTCTTATTTAACAATAGTTTGCATCATATTTTATAATAAAATCCTTTATCTTTTCTGTGTTAAGAGCATCATGCGCAGGTTGGTTGTGACAGGCATCAATGCAACTCTGTAATGATCGCAGCTCTGCTGTCTTTGCATTTTGAAAAAGCACTTGTGAATAGTTCTTTCTTTTTTTTCCTAATTTGACCCGGTCAAATGGGCAACTATAAAACCTCTTAGACCTGATGCTCTGTATAGATTGGTGTAATCACCAATAGTAATCGTTAGGAGGCTGTGATTTGCGTTAGACTAACCGCTCCAAAATCAGGTTTAGGCAGACGCAGAGGTGTAGGTGCATAAATAGTCAATCCTTCTATAGAAAATCAACTGCTAAAGAAAGATTTTGACTATAATATTTTTGGGATTAATATCTGAACATGTCACAGAAGTTCAAAACTGTGACTGGAACAGATATGGAAAGTCAAAACAATTTCAATACAATAAAAAGTGCTAATATTTCTATTAGTAAATGTGAACATTTTAATGTTATTTGTAATACATGCTTCAAATAGATATAAATATTTGTCATCTTAAATGAATAGGTATGACATATTTCTTTAAATAAATTAATAATTTTTAGGTACATATTTTTACCTCTTGGCCCTCATGAATTAATTTCACCTTTTGCTTTACAAATCCAAAACTTGTGCTACTTTTTTGCTACTTAAAAAGTTTACTTAAATATAGTGATGCGCCGTTGCCATTTTTTTTGGCCCCGAAACCGACACCGATATCTGGCTGTGCAGTATTGGCCGATACCATCTGTTTGAAATTGATGTGTGTGTTTATATATGAAGAACTGCTACTACTTGGATGTAAAATAATGGCCATCATGGCTTTGTCAAGCTGCTGCCTATCTTTGTGAAGCAGAAAAAAAGACTACCGGTAATACAAACTGAATCCAGTAGAACTTTTTATTGCCTACCTGGAATGGGGCTCTCAAAATGGTATCGGTGCCCTATTTGTTGGTACTCGCCACCGATACCACCATTTAGTGAATACTGACATCTGCTGGACATTTAAAATCACTACAGGCAGCATCTTTGACAGACTAAACTGACACGGATTTGATAACCTATAGTAATATTTAAGCCATTGTTTGCTATAATGTTATCATTTAAATTGAAAACATGTTGATATTTTTAGATGCGATCCATAAATTTCAAGAAATAATGGGAAAATTTAAGTGAACATGTAAAAAAGGATGTTTTTGGACTAGGATTGATTTATTTAAAACTACTACAGTAAAACCAGCAAACTAAGATTTGAAATCAATATGAATTTAGATAAGTTGAGTGATAACTGAGAGGAACAGGATGACACGAGAGAGTTAAAACAAATATGAGATCAAAATGGTCGCACTTGGCTGAAATTATTTATTGATTAATTTGATGATAAACCGCAAAAGATCAGGGATTTTTTTGTGTGTGACAGAAGCGCTTATAAATACAGTTTAGTGCGTCATTCAGTTTGAAACAGCTCCTGTGTCGGTCATGTGACTTCCTTGAAACAATACGCGTACTGACACAAGGTTTTGCTATTAAAGTTTGAGGCATGCGCCGGTGCGTCGGTGTTGCTTGGTCCATCACTAGTACACACTTACTCCTTCCAGTCGTGGCTTTTTTCCACAGTTCCACCCTGCAGCTGCTATTTATCAACTTAAACTTGAGACAGAAAGAAAAAAGGGACCCAAACCAGGGAAAGCTTTTTTCCGTTTTTTTTATTTTTTTTTATTTATACAACCAAACCAGAACCAGATAGAGGAATCTTTTGTTAAGTGTGTTTTTATAGGCCGCTCCGTCTGTTATGGATTTGATTTTAACAGAACAAATGGAAAAACAAAAATTTAAAAAGAAAAATGATCTCTTTGCGTAAATCTTTGCACTTTCCATAAAAAAACAAAACTCTACACTTTAGTTTTCAGACTACTTGATTTTGTGCGTACAGAATAATGATTAAAGAACTATAATGTCTCATAACATAGTCAGAACAACTGGAAAAGAGGAAACTAGTCCCAATATCAGTGTGTGCAGGTGGTTAACTATATTACCAGCAGTGCAGAAGACACTTTGAGGGCGTGCTTGTCTTTGCCCACAAAGTCACCTGCATGAATATACCATCTATCGCTATTTGTTGGACTGACGAATATCGGTTGGAATATTATATAATCCATTTTTGGTGAGCCAGTCTCTAAGAGAAATCCACGTTCAGCTTGAGGAGACTGTCACTAAAAAGCAGCTGGATTTCTCGTTTTTTTAAAGACATTTAACCTTCTCATCCAAACAGCTCCTACAGTTCTTAACATGGTTGTAGTAAGAGACTTCTACGTTGTGGTCAGAACAATCACACTGATACGGCTGTTAAGGTCACTACCTATTTTCCATTGTTATCATTTATGTCAGGAAAGGTCGGGTCAGATCAGTTAGAATTGATTCGGGATCTTTAATACCAAGGCAGCCCTACAGTCTGAGTCCGACCTGTTATAGTTTGCAGATACATCACAACAAAATGATCTCCATTCATGGCTGCCAGACTCAGAGTAAAAGAGATGTTCCAAAGGAGCCTGTGGGGAACTAAACCAAGAAAAATAGTGTAAATACGTACAGGATGCGATATTAAATGGAAGAATACGAGCTACAGCACATGGAAAGGTGAGCTAACGCTAACTACTGCTATAAGCAGGTTATAATAGTGCGTACTGATGCAATAGTGTAAAATTACTTAATGATTGATGATGTTAGTTATAAAGATAAACTGGGACTTGTGATTCTGCCTCTAACCAGTCAGCGATTAATGGTTCTGGGGTAAGATACCCATCAATCAAAACGTTTACATAATGTGACTTCATTTGTATATGTAACTCGTCAAACATGATTACATTTACCATTTTTATTTATTCCTTGTCATCAACTCAAACATAAGATTTGAATTCAAATGCTTCATCTATGACAATTAGGGTTGAGTTTCTTGTGGAAGAAACCTGTTTCTTCGGGACAAGTACAAGTATTATTTCTTCCAGAAGAAACTGGAAGAAAGTCCTGGTGATAGATCCTATACTGGAGAACTGGGATAGTTTCATTGAGAAGTAAAATAAATATGTCTACCAGGCTACTCAGATTACTCCAGCTGTTCTATGTTTTCTGTATTAATGCAGATCCCCCAAACCACCCTGTTTATAGACATTGAACCCCACCTCAAGGTTATTACTGGATTTGGGCCTGCTTAATGTACAATATTAACAAAAAAAAAAATAACTTTCCAGTAGATTTGACCTTCCAAGATTCTGGAAAAAACATGGAAAAATCCTGGAAAAAAATGCCATCCGAAAGAAACTTCTGACCCTGGCGACAATACCGGTTTGGAAGGTACAAAAACAAAATACAAAGTTACTTGTTACTATTTGAAGAGGAACACCGTTTTTTTTACATTGGCCCCTTGATTTAACGTTATTAAATCATGTTCTAACGTTCAATTCGATTTCGAGAGCGAGATCATCTGTGGTAGTAGCACTAGACATCTTCCAGGCATGTGAGTAAAACTAGCAGCAGTTCAGCGGACAGGAAGAATGAATGGTAGCCGGCGAGCGCGGATGACGTCATACACGCGCCACTTTGTTTTTATAAACTATAAATATAAAAAATATAACCGTGGATGTATGGGGGACAGTGATTCGCCTACATGTTATGAATGCTGGCGTACCATAAAGAATAAATTATGAACAGTTTAGTTTGTGCCTTCAACTCGTTGCCCATAGGAAGACGTTAGTTGGATTACAAAACCTAAAAAGAACAGCTCCAAATGACACAAAACTCATAGATCATGATGTAATAACATAACATCAAGGGGCCAATGTAAAAAAACAAAACAAATAAAACGGTGTTCCCCTTTAAGTTGGCCCTCAAAATGATTGTTAAATCTTTCTATTTGCCTCACTTTGCATCACTATTCAAACTCTGTATCTGGATACAATATTAATTAGGCAAAGTTTCAATAATAAAGTGTTTCCCTATTTCTATTTTGAATATTAGATATCTAATCGCTTTGCAAATTTAAATATAGGACTTCAGAGAACCTTAAAACACTATAGTTTGACATGTTAATAATTTTCTAACACTTTTTGGGGTTTTTTATCCACATGGTATCAAAAATGGCATCAAATATCAAATATTTTCCTGGGTTTTCATATCAGGTTTTATATTTTATTATTGTAAAAACACTAAGAGTTAATCACTGTTAAAATCAAGAATAAAACCGTTTGCAATGAACCAATATATATGCATATCATGTGTTAACCTCTGGCTGTTCATGGCCTCTTCACTTTGTGTTGCAGGACAGCCTGAAGATGGTTTCTGTGCGGGATATAGGTAAAGGCGAGGAGGTATTTAACACGTACGGACAGATGGCCAACTGGCAGCTTCTGCATATGTATGGCTTCACAGAGCCGTATTTACACAACAGCCACGACACTGCTGACATTCCCCTCTCCTGCCTCTATAAAGCTGCCACACGAGGTAACTAAAAAAAACTGTGAGGGGTTTGATTCCAGGTTCAGTGTTTAGATTTCATCTGTTTGTTATAGCCATTGAAATATAAAAGCTTTAAACTTGGTTTTAATACTAAAGAATCATCCTCGACTCCATTCTTTCAATCACTGAAGGTACAAAGTACTAAGGGGCTTAAAAAGTTTAATGAAATTTTCTCCTTAAATGCTCTGCTTCTCTTAAATAAGGACCTGAAAACAACTGCGTTACTTTTATTGATAAATGAATAGGAGGCATCTCAATAAAAACAATTATTAGTGAAGAGGATTTGCCAAATGAGTGTATCACTTGGTGCACAGAGGCCTTCCTACAATCCTTTCCTCCTTAAATGATTTTTTTTAAAGTCTTCATTATTGTATATATGTCAAAGTTTTCTTATAAAATAGAAACTATAAAGCAGTACCTCAGAACTGATCCCTCAGATACTCTTTGGACATAAATGTTTTGAAAAAAGGAGTTTAACCTGGGGAAAAAAAAAACTTACTGGGACAGACACTGAATGGTTCCATTTGATGAGGTGATTATTTTGTCCGGAAACCTAATTTTTCGTAGTCTATTTAAAAGTTTGCAGCAAATCTGAAACTGGATAACTGTCAGACAAATTTCCCTGGGTCACAAGGAAGTGAATCATTTTGAAATAAACAAAAATAGATGTGGCCTTGAAATGTAATTAGGAAAATAAAGGTATGTTTTATTATTTGGATCTCATTAGGACTGTCTGAAATTAAATCAAGACTTTCATTCAGCAATAATGCTGTTTACTTGACTGCACTAAAAATGGGCTCGTCCGGGATTTGAACCCGGGACCTCTCGCACCCTAAGCGAGAATCATACCCCTAGACCAACGAGCCATATATCTCTATGATCTAAAGAAGGAGAATTTGGAAAAACTTCAGTCACTCCAGTTTACAGTCTGCTGATGTGGCAGGTCAGGTCTAAGGGGTGCAGCAGTGCCCTCTAGTGGGTACTGGGCTACACAAACGGCAAGGTTTCTTTTAGATCAATGTTTCCCAACCTTTTCTGACCTGTTCCCTTTGGGCATTTTGTCTTAACTTGAGTACCCCTCTCAGTCAAAAGTATTGATGATTGCCCAAAAGTGGAATGTACGATAACATTATAAAATAAAAACAATTTAATTTAATCTTTTAATAAGAATATTTAATTCTTAGGCTTTTTAGGCTTTCCATCCATAGCAAGAGGATTTTTTTTATAGATTTAAACCAGGCAAAATTAAAACATTTCTACTTGAGCAGTTCTGGATAGAGCCATATTGACAGACGAAAAATAGTTTTTTTTATCTTAAGAATAAATAATTATATATATATATATATTTTTTTTTTTTTGTCGTCTGTTTTAGATGTGTTATTTTTTTTTTTTTGTCGTCTGTTTTAGATGTGTCTTAAAATCTCTATACTCCAATTAACGATTAATCGATTTCTAAATTAGTTGAGGATTATTTAAATCGAATAATCACAATTAATTTGATTATTGTTTCAGCCCTAATTCAGATAGATTGAAACTCAGTAGTTTTTCCTTCTTCTCCTCTTGCAGATATTCTCTCTGAGTCTGAGCGTCAGCTTTTCAATGAGCGCTTCGAGGTTCTTAGCCAGATGATGCAGGAAGGTGGAGCGTTTGTGTTCGGTAAACATGGCTGCCTCACAGAGTCTGAGCTACACTCTGCACTCAAGGTGATGGAGCACAAGCAGCTCAATTCTGCATCCATTTCTGTATCTTAAACTAACAGTGGCATGCCAAGATGATGACGTCACATTTAGCTACTTCTTTGTACCTACAGCTTCTGAGCATGTCACAGGATGAATTCTCAGAGTTCAAAGACAATGAAGGATGGGAGGAGGAGGATGAGGATGATGATGCAATCTCCCAGGCTTTCTCCAATGAAGGTCTTCCAGATTTAAAGGCATCTTGGAAAGCACTGATCCATGAAGCTGTCCGGCTTACTCTGGGATCCTATGGAGACAGCGAGTTGGAGAGCGATCGGCTGTTAATGGAGGACAAAGTGGCTCTTAAAGGACTGACCAGCAGGCAGTGGAGGGCGCTGCAGGTCCGCTTCGGACAGAAGAGGATTTTGCACAAACTGCTGGAGCTAACCAAGTCTTAAGTTCTGACATGACAAGAAATCTAATTGAAACTGTGAGCAGCCACTGTATAAAAATGGTCAATAAACTTATTTTTTCTGAAGATTTGTTTTGTTTTCACAGCTGCAGGCAACACTATTAAGGTCTGAACACGCCGATTACGTACGACTTTTTAATCTCCGATCCGATTTTTTTGTTCCATATTCACACTGCGTAAAGAGAGGCTCCGACTAGTTAGGGTGGGCAGATCTGTGCAGATTATTTTCACTTATGTCTCTGTAGCAAACAAATTAAAACAATTTCCCCAGGCTATTAACAGATTTTATTTTGTATTTCCCCCCAAAGCGGATGTGTTTTAATTTGTAACAGAATCTCTTGCTGTCAGACCCATGAACTTGCTGCCTGATTGCTGCGTAGTCTGACTAAAATAGACCTGGTCTCTAGTTTAGTCAGACCTACATAAGCCCCCTTGCATAAAATGGTCTGTGTGTGATCATCCCCATTGACTTTCAATGAGCTCTAAATGCTACAAACTTGTCCGACACCATTTTCTGTCAGATCGGACGCAATATCGGATTCAGAATGCTCTGGCCTTTACACTGAGTTTTTGTGCGGTGTCCAGACATCATAATCCATACCTACCATATTCACACCCTTTAAACTTTTTTTTTTAAATCACTTTGCATCAAATCCCCTCTCATTTGAATTTCACATCACAGGCCGACATAGGGAGGACGTTAGTTAAGAAATGAAAGTAAAATTATGCGGTTCAATCCGAATACATTGAATCAGTAAGGACTCTCCTAACAAAGAAGTGTGTCAGCAGTCGCCATGATAAGTGCTGTTTGAATAGTACTGATAATAAGAAATGAGGTAGGAAAAGGAGCCTGCATTCCTCCTATCACAGTTCCTCTAACGAAGGGAGCTTGGGATGTTCCTTACTGGTGCTATGGAGCTATATTCAACAAACGTTTGCATGGCATGATGTATAAGTGATATCACCAAAGGGTTTCCTATTTCCACCTGGTATACCAATGTTACTCTTACATTTCCCAAATCAGGCACAATACACATAACTTCAGAAGTATTAACCATTAACATTTTGCTTTGAGGTGAGATAAAAAAGGGCTCGTCCGGGATTTGAACCCGGGACCTCTCGCACCCTAAGCGAGAATCATACCCCTAGACCAACGAGCCTGTACATGCAGAAAGTCACACACATCTGGGAGAATTCTATACAAATGATATGGATGTTGCTGATGTGGCAGGTCATGGAGTCCAACACCGCCCTCTAGTGGTACTTAGCATTTTCAGCCTTATGCATGAGCTTTTGGATGTAAACCCTACACTTTCTCTTTAGGATTTTTTTTGGGGGGGTTGTTTAACAGTACATAATACTTTTTATAGTATTAAAATGGCTATCTTAAACTCCTACGGTATTTTCATCCACTGGGAATGCTCCACATTAAATTCTGAATTAAACCATGGAGCTGACCAACTTCTGGCTCCTGCAAACAGGTTTTTCCAGTTTAGGAGAAGAGTTTACAATATTCACCTTCTTCTTTGTTTTGTCTCAGAAAAATTTTTTTTGTTTGTTTGTTTGTTTTTTATTTCAACTCACATATTGCAGATTAAAAGAAGAATTCTAAAAAACTATAAATGTGCCAAAACCTGAAGTGCTTCTAAATTAAGGTTAAAAACTAACTTGAGTTTTGTTTGACTTTCCTATTTTAACTGTTTAATGAAGTTTAAGATCAGTTTAAGATTAACTGTCTGCCTTAATTATACTGATGCAAGACATCTTTCTCTGTCTGGTGAACAGTCTGTCTAAATTTGCTTTATGTGTTTCTGTAAATCATTGCTTTTAAATGGGTATTACCAATTTTCCACTATGACATTTTGATACCTGCACTGTTTCTGCCTTTTCTGAGATGTTTTTATTTCTCTGTAATCTTTAAATGTTACCTTATTGATGTTATTTTGTTTAGTATAAAATTTTATTCTGTCAACTTGTAATGGCACTGTCACCCTCGCATCTCCCAGCTATTGTACAACAAACATTTAGATTCTATTTTATTCAAAGATGAACATTTCTGACTTACTATTTTAGAGATGAAAAGAAATTAACATGGGTGGAAGTCTAAACTTGCTTGTTATTAGTGTTTTAGTACTGACATAAACAGTAAAATAACTATCAGAATTAAAGAATTGTTGGTTGTTCAAACAAAATAGCTTTCGAAAAACTCCAATGAAAAGGAGGGCTCGTCCGGGATTTGAACCCGGGACCTCTCGCACCCTAAGCGAGAATCATACCCCTAGACCAACGAGCCACCACATACAGAATATGCTGTACATCTGGCTTTAAAAAGAAGAAACCCCTCTAGATTGTGTTGATGTGGCAGTTAAGGCAGCCTAACAGTGCCCTCTGGCGGTAAACTGTTCACCTGAAAAACAGACCGTATTGAACACTCCATGAAAGAAGCTGGAGGGGAGGCTTCAGATTCAAACCCTTCAAACTTGTAACTTTTTTTTTTTTTTTAACAGCATATATGACAATAACGCTAAACTGAATTATTAAATACTTATATGACAAGATTACAGACATCTCAATGCAGAGAGGAACCATTGCTCCCAACCCCTGAAGTTCAGCAATAATAAACCTCATAAGGGACAATCGATATGCTCTCAGAGGTGCTTACAAAACCCAAAGCTGATTCTGGACTTCAGGGCACTCATCCACTCCCCAATAGACACATAAGCCCATTATAAAAATGATGCTATCCAATGTTTAATTCCACATTTGGATGAATATCTGGCGCAAAAAACAAAAACTATTGTTAATGTTCTTCCTGGTATTTATATGCATCATTTTGCAGCTGTGAAAAAAAGCAAACATAGCTGCAGCTTGAATGCTTTATTTTCTTTATTTATGCATACTGCAGTTAAAGTAGCAAGAACTAAAGGCAAACTAGAAAGAACTACAAAATACAACACGCGGACCAATACATTTACAAAACATTCAAAATGTTACAAAATGGGCTGTATTGGTCCTTCTATTGTTCTTCAGTTCGTAACTTTGTACATATCATTGTTGATGTTATAACTGCACATTTTTACAAGTGCCATGGAGAGACCTCCAGGACCAGTTTGAAACGGAGAAACCAGCAGCAACCAGTCTCATTCACCATCACACCTGAGAAACTTGACAACTTTCAGTCCCCTTTAGAAAAAAAAAAAAGAAACCCTCAATGAACCAAATAAAAGTCGCAGGCAGTTTTTTTCTGCTCAATCATCAACCATTCAGCCTCAAGAAAAAAAAAATTAAGTCACAATTCAACTGTGTAGGAGGGAAGCAAACCAAGGACTTTGGTAGTGAAACTATGTTCAGGTGTCTATACATGTCAAAGGTACATTTTAACTGACATTTGTCCACTTCCCTGCTCTCCCTTTTTTCCCCCATTATTTACAACAAAAGAAGCATTTGAACAGCATTTTTTCTCCCATTCTCTCTATCCAAAATGGAAAAATGAAACTCCTTGGATCCAAAGAACAGTAGTCCTTCCGGCCATATTTAATATTTAAAAAAAAAAAAAGAGCCAGAAGAAACTGGTTGTCAGTTTCTCCAACAGTGTACAGGGAGCTGGGTGTGTGGTGAAGGCCTCGGCATTTCTCTGACCAGAGTTAGCTGGCACCAGTGCCCTCCATCACCTGCTGGGCTTGCTTCTGCCCCATGCAACACTGGGCCACAGACTGGAACAACCTGCACACACAGACAGATGCCATACGATGAACATGACATCTACTTCTAAGGATTCTATTCTTCGCATATCGAATTAAACCTACTTTTCAATCTCGGGCGCACAGTGCACAAAGTCATGACTCCAGAACTTGAAGGCAGGATTCTTGATCAGCTCGATAAAAGTGATAAGAAGTCCCCACGGGTGAGGTCTGTTGACAATTAGCCTCTCCAACAGAACCCTGGAAGACAAGGAGAACAGAGTTGGCTGACAGCATTTCTGACACGCAGCTGATCAAGACACGTGAAGCTGAGTTTAATCTCACCTGGTGATCTGCTCCTGGATGGCTTCAGTGTTGGCTTCGGCAAACAGGTACAGCATGGTACAGCTAAAATAATGGGTGTGGCTGTTGGGGTAGCGCAGCTGATTGGCGATGGCGTTCAGGAACAAGTACCGGCCTGAAAACATAGATACTCGTTCAAGATCACTAAAGCTTGTTTAACTCAAAGTCGTCTACAAATTTATTTATTTCCTTAGACGTCTTGTGACTTTACACAAAAAAATAAAATAAAAAATCCAAGTATTTTTCGGGGGATTAGTTGTGATAAAATAATATGAAGTAGAAACTGAAGTTTCATTTAGCTGATTTACTTTGATAATTATAAGTCAAACTCAAATCCATGAGGGCTGCTGTTCCACATCTTTATATGGGAGCCGGACCCAACACCAATCTAAAGGCCTAACTTCCTCGCTAGTAAGAATTCCACTTCTGCCCATCATTTTATTCACATGTAGAAGTTTCATTGCACCATCAAGGACAAGAGTTTGCCACCAGTGTGGTTGCTCCATCCCGACTACAGAAAATCACAGCATGCCACCACAATGCTCCTTCAAGCGTCTGGTGTGTCAGGGTTCCTACAGCATAAGGCAAGTTAAATTCAAGACTTTTTAATGCCAGTTGAAATAAAAATTTAAGTCCAAATTCACAAGAAACACAAGCAAAACCTGCTTGTGACAGCTTAACCCAAAGGTTTATTTTAACATAAACCACTGCACTAATGTTTCAAATTTTGAAAAACTTTCCATACAGGAAGAAAGCTAAAAACACACAAATGACAGATATATTTTAACAATTATTTAACTGAATTCACAAACTTTGTTTTAGCAGGGAACAAAACAAATCAGTTTTAAAGCCACAACATAACCAGTGCTAAGACTTTTTTGCAGCTATTTTTTCTTTGCATCGTTTTCTTAGTATGTTTGATTTGGTGATAAGTGGAGGCGTTTCAGTGACAAGGGTGGAACAAAACCGAGAAATAAATAAATTTCTCGGTAACTCGATTTTTACGCTTTGTGTTTCATGCTT